TACTTTAGACCATTATTTGTCGACATTTTTCTGCGCATTGTTCCAATGCATCTTTCTGTTGGCAAGTCAATTGATTGTTGTAAAATATCATTTTTGTGATACACTGCAAATTTGGATTATCCACAATGTTAAGAAGGTCAGTAGGAATAAAAGAGTCAACGACAACCACTTTTCTGACGTTGTGCAATTGGTACAAATCACAAAGACAATCCCCCAATATTTTAACACCAAATATTTTCCACTTGAAAATTTCGTGAATTGTACGAATGGAAACTAAACTTTGAGACCCATCAATCCACGTGATTTGGTCAACCATTTCTTTGGTAATTTCATTTTGTGCCTCGTTGATGTTCCCTTCATATGTTTCAAGATTGGGAATGTACTTGCGAAGAAACGGAATGTAACGTAATACCCGAGGCGGATTAATGTGCAACATGGAAACTGCCAAACAACAATTCTCCGAAACATTCAAAAAAGTCCTAAAAGTGGTAGTTGAATCTAAATAAAGCACAATATTAGCCAAGAACACTGGTTCATTACGTTTGGTGTTAATAGTCATATGAAATTAGTGTTTTTGAATTATTAAATCGTTGAGTCAAAATTCAAAACCTTTTATTATTTCAATTTTGATATTTTGAGTCTTAACTTTTTTGATTTTTTGTTATTAAATCATAATTAACGGAATAATTTGTTTTTCAAGAAAAAAGACTGAAAAGGTTGTTTTTTGCGGCAAAAAAATCGTTTTTAATAAAGCCTTTTTCGAAAGACGTTAAGAATCGTGACATTGTAAATTATTGGATCGTGATTACAGAAGTATTAATCATAATTAGCAAACAGTTTTTGATAAATTAACAATTCAGAAATAATTATCGATTTTATATCTTAAATTAACACAGTAAAATCAGTATATAAATTAAAAAAATATAAGATTAACATTTAAATATTATTAACATTTTTGTTGTAAAATTAACGCAGCAAAATATAATAATTAATTGACGAATAATATTATTAACAATTTAAAAAATATGTATTTTTCTTGTAAACTGTTTCTAATAAATCGATAGTGAGAAAATTTGAAATTATCGCACATTTTCGGGTTTTGTTGTTTTAATAATAAGTCCTATATTTTGGGAAATATATTTCTCCTTCTTTTTTCTGTCATGTTTTTATTTGAAAAAAAATATTTATTTTTATTTTCAGTCTTTTTTCTGATTATTTTGCAACGTTTTTACTCGAGATATTTTTGTTGGTTATTTTCCTGTTAAATAAGTTCAAAAATGTACTTCAATTTTGAATTGTTTTCAGTAGCAACAAATTTGTATTCATAACAACAAACCAAAAATGTTGTTATAATCAAATGAAAATACTTTTTTGAAATAAAAGCTTTTGGTAATGAATTGAAATTAAACACTTATAATTAATATAAAATTGGTTTCAAGAATAAAATGATTAAGATAAAAGAAAATTAACAAATTGATGACTTAATAAAACAATTACGTTTTGAGATGATTTGAATGTAAAAAACAAAAGATGTAAAAATACCAACGGCAAAACAATATAAAATGAAAGTTATTCGTCTTATTAATTAGTTGTTTGGTAAATGAATTTGAAATTTAATTTATGTTAAACAAACAAAAATACTAAAAGTTGGTAATAAAAATTCAGTTTTTAATCTTAATAAAACAAATGAACAAAATTGATACCCTTATAGCCGGAGCTTTACATAAAGGCTATTCATATTCTGTTATCACAGAAATGATGAAAGTGTCTCCGAACAGAATTGCGCGAGTAAAAAAGATGATTGAAGACAAAATCGCCATTAAAAACGTAAAAAGAGGGAGACCCACTAAATTTACCAACAATGTTATCGATAAAATCGTCAAACAAACTGAAAATGATCCATTTTCAACTTGTTCAAAGATTGCACTAAACAATCACTTGTCCAAGTCAACAGTTTACAACTTAAGAAGAACACATGGATTTAAATATTGCAAC